TATAACCTGGTTCGCATTTAAAGAATTGTTCATAGAAACACCAGCCGCCATGTTTTTAAATATGCTGACAAACCGACCGACTGATGGCGAGAGTCTCGCAATCCATGCAACCCGCATGGTTACTGAACTAACGATGAAATGGCGCCAAATGGAAGCGGAAGAAATTGCTGTCTGCGTGACTCTTGCATTGATAGCAAGATTTGATAACCGACTGCAGCGTTTAAGTTTTACATGAAATGTTCGAACCAGAGGCGATTTACGGTCCGAATTAAAAGCGTTCACTTTTAATAAAAGGAAAAGTGGCTTTGTGCAGTAACAATCTGAATCCTAAACGGCAAAAGCAATCATCAATAGAATGTTATTTTTGTGGAAAAACTGGGACATAAAATGTTTGAATGCAGACTCAGAAAACAACAACATCACGATACGAATGACAAAGAAAGACATAGCAGACAAGATGAACAACAACGTGGAAAATCAAGTGGAACCTGCCACAAGTGCGGAAACCGGGGTCACATATCTACCCTATGTACACAGAAGGAAGCTGATCCGACAAAGGCGGGTGGAGCAGTGCAGCCTTGCAGTACCTTAGGGATACATGAACCATAGAAGCCGCATTTTTATACCCTTGCAGAGGGTATTATAATTTTGTCGCGAAATGTGTAACGCATAGAAGGAGACATCTCCGACCCCATAAAGTATATATATTCTAGCATCATCATCAACAGCCGAGTCGATAGAGCCATGTCCGTCTGTCCGTCTGTCTTCTTCTATGCGAACTAGTCTCTCAGTTTTAAAGCTGTCTTAATGAAATTTTGCAGAAGTCCCTCTTTCTGTTGCACGGAGCACATATGCCGAAACCAGCTGGATCGGACCACTATATCATATAGCTGTCATAGGAACGATCGGTCGAAAATTAAGTTTTTGTAAGAAAAAACATTTTGTTTATCAAGATATTATGACCAAACTCGGCATTTATTAGTTTTACTATGCTCCTCATATATATGCAAAATCCTATTAAGATCGGACCACTATATCATATAGCTGCTATAGAAACGATCGGACAAAAATTAAGTTGTATGAAAAAACATTTTGTTTTTAAAGAAATCTTGATCAAACTCGGCATTTATTAGTTTTACTATACTCCTCATATATATGCAAAATCCTAATAAGATCGGACCATTATATCATATAGCTGCCATAGGAACGATCGGTCGAAAATTAAGTTTTTGTATGAACAAATATTTTGTTTTTCAAGATATCTTGACTAAACTCGGCATTTATTAGTTTTACTATGCTCCTCATATATGTATATGCAAAATCCTATTGAGATCGGACCACTATATCATATAGCTGCCATAGGAGTGAAAATATAGTTTTTGTATGAACAAATATTTTGTTTTTCAAGATATCTTGACCAAAGCACTTTTGCATTATGAAAAGGTTGGGTCTGCAGGGGTATTCGATTTTCGGCGTGCCGAAGATAGCCTTTATTTGTCGTTGAAGTCACCTGTGATTCCGGAGCAGAATGCTAACTGATGAAAGAAAAGCTAAGTATTAAATTCTCTGGTATTGATACTGTCTTGAGGGACAAGATAAAATAAAACTTTATTTATTGTTGGCAAAGTACTCAAATAGTTTTATAAATGGTATTCCATGTACGAAAATTAGATTAATTGATGCAAGAAAAACAGTTCAAAGAAGGCCATATCGATTGAGTCTATGCGAGCGAGATTTCGAGAAAACTTGATGAGCTGTTGAATTGCAATATAATAAGACCAAGCTGTTCACCTTATGCGAGCCCTGGATTATTAATTAGAAAAAAAATTGTTCGGATAGACTTTGTGTTGACTATAGAGAGCTAAATTCAAATACAATCGCAGATAAATACCCGCTGCCACTTATACAGGATCAAATAAATAGACTTCGAGGAGTTAACTATGGCTAGTGGATACTATCAAATTCCCTCAAATGCAGATTCTATTGAGTATACAGCGTATGTGACGCTAGATGGCCAATATGAATTTTTGTCTATGCCATCCGGGATTAAAAACGCGCCCTCTGTTTTTCAACGCTTAGTAATACAGGCGGTCGGGGATCTGGCGACTTCTTATGTTATCGTCTATAGGCATGACATCAGGATAACTGCTGCAACATAATGTGAGGCGTTAGAAAGATTAGAGATTGTTCTAAATATCCTGACAGAGGCTGGGTTTTCGTTCAACATTACAAAGTGTTCTTTCTTAAAAACATTGGTTCAATATTTAGGCTTCATGTTAGTGCTGGTGAAATTCGTCGGAACCCTCAGAAAATTGTAGCGTCGACTGCTCTTCCGCCTACGCAGTCAGTCACATCACTTATGCAATTTATTGGATTGTCATCTTACTGATTAACCAGTCCTTGTTATTTTTGACCCAAATTATCCAATTGAATTGCATACAGATGCAGGTTGCAGTGGATACGGTGCAATTTTACTACACAAAATTAATAATAAGCCCCTGGTAATAGAATACTATAGAAGAGTCGAGATACCACTCGTATGAATTGGAATCTTTAGGAGCTGTAAACGTCATTAAACATTTTCGACACTATTTGTTGGGTAGAAACTTTATTGTTTATGCAGACTGTAACTCACTAAAGGCGTCAAGAAATAAACAAGCTTTGACCCCTAGAGCGCAGCGCTGGTGCGCTTATTTGTAGTCATTTACATTCGACATTCAGTACAGAGAAGGGAAAAGAAAGGCCCATATTGACTTTTCGTCGAGAAATCCTATCTTTCCAAAGACTACTTCTGCTGTTAAGGCGATATTTCAAGCAATTGGCTCATTGCACAACTCAGACATGGCCGAAATTGTGAGTAAATTGCATGAAGTTCTTCACCGGAGAATATAGAGAAATGGCAGTACACGCTGTTTACCAGTGGTGCCGCGTTCTTTCAGATGGTCCGTTATAAACCAAGACACTCGATAAAGTTTACGATTTTTACTGGCTTGAGAATACGTCAAAATATATCAGAAAATTTGCTGACAACTGCATCACTTACAAAATGTCAGGCTGAACTGCATCCAATCCCGAAAGTCAATATTCCTTGGCACACTATCCACATCGACATAACTGAGAAATTGAGTGGCAAGAGTGACTAAAAAGAGTACGTTATTGTTTAAGTAGAAGCGTTTACCAATTTTGTCTTTCTATATCATACCCTTTAATTAGACAGTAAGAATTCTATAAATGCTGTTCCATCCGCTGCTTCGTTGTGTGGAGTACCAAACCGAATAATAGCTGACCAGGGAAGGTGTTTAACGGGAGCAAAACTGGAACGCAGTCTAGGAGAGGTGCATATGGCACAACTAACCGTGTGACAAAGGGAAGTTCTCCAGAAATGCTATTTGGAAAGCTACCACGCCCTTTTGAGGATTACATCCACCTAGTGACATAGAAAATGAGATTGATCTGTCAAACGTAAGAGCACTAGCGGAAAAGAATATTTTAGCTAATGCAGTTTATGACAAAGAACGATTTGATAAAAATTATGCAAAAGTACTTAGACACAAAGTTGGAGATTTTGTATTATTTAAAAGCGAAAAGAAGCATCAAACCAAGTTATGTCCATGTTGAAGTTTCTTAAGAATGTGAAGAACACCAATAAGGGTGAAAGAAGTTAAACTGCTGGCCAAAGGAAACGACAAAGTACGTCAGCCATGTAATATAATGCAAGCACAAGTGCAAAATATAGTGATGTTTGTTTTGATCATGGCGTGTGGGGCATTTGATTGATTTGAAAAATAAAAACCAAACAGAATGATAAAGACTATGTTAAAAAATGATTTGAGGAGGCTTGGTACTATTTTGCGAAATTGTTAAATTGATAAGACTTTATGAATTAAGAAATTAAGATTTGCGTTTGCTGTGGAAATATTTGTTGGCAATAAAAAAATATAATAAAAACAATTAAAAACATAAGAGCAACTTGAATTATGGTCTTTTGTACACGAGGTCGTGTCGGTTCATACGTAATGTCTGTGTGGTTGCACGTGGAATGTCTGTGTGGTTGCACGTGGAGTGTCTGTGTGATTCCACATGGAATGTCTAAATATTTGGTAGTTCACAATGATTGGGAATTGCGATTCCCGGCGAATGTTATAGAAGCATTATTGTCTAACTAAACTTAACTAACTCGACGCATAGCATCGAGGCCTTCGAAGAGCCCCAGCTTGATGTAAATGTAATCTTAAGAGCGAAATTTATGCAATTGCTTCGCAGAGCAAGTGCTTTAAGATAAAACCAAATAAAACAATCGTTACAACGAAGAGCGCCAGCTTGATGTAAATGTAATCTTGGTTGCATTGCCAGACAACGTGTTTCAGTGATTTGAAAATGGGTTTTGAGACCGATCGGATGGTGAACAAAAAACTTTCATACAAACGTTTTTCGCTAATTAAACACATTTATGGGATATTTATAATCGATGAAACACGTATTTATTAACTTTTTATGTCGAGCTCTGAAAATAACAATATCGGAAAACACTTAAAACCACAAAAAAAATGTTAGTATCACACGTTCCACCGCGGAAGATTGGATTTTGCCAATGCGACCTGCCCTTGGGGTAAATTGATCATAAGTTGTTCTTTTCAGGTTTTGTTTTCCAACAAGTCTTTAGGAAAATTCATTTGACACGTTTAATACTTTTTATAATGGGATATCAAATTTTTATCCTGGCGCACATACTTAGAGAAATGTGTGGAAATTAGCCGGAAAACGTTATTGAAATTGTGGAAGTTTGCCGGAAAGTAGTATTTAAACATTTTGCAAAACCTATTATTTTATATAACAGTGCACAGATCGGATCCTACCAACAAAGTATTTTTCCATCTTTTTATGTGTATATCTATATATTAAGTAGAATTAAATAAAATTAAGTAGAATTAATCTTCGGAAACCGCACTTATTATTTCTTTATGTAATATGTAGTTGCAACTAAAAATCTATATTTTCAGGTTGCGTGGACCGACGTTCGTTTGGACTTTCAATTTAAAGAGCAAAGAACGGGATAGCAAATGGACCTTGGCTGGAGTTTGCTTACTTTTGCAGACATAAAACCTTAAATAACCTTACAAATTAATAATTTGATTTTTCTGTACGTTAATGTAATACCACAATAAATATTCAATTCTACGTAAGTAAAATGCGTAATAGTTTTTTTTATTTATGCCCGTTCCTTAATTCTGGCTTAAAATATCTTTGTGTAAAAAGAAAGCAAAATTTTTTTCTAAATTATGATTTTTTGATATACGATGTGTGTGTGCACTACTGTGTTTTCCATTCAAATTGCTCCATTCAAATGTACAAATGTTATGACTGTGAACAGTCAACAAGAATCCAGGACTAATGCTGAATTCTTTACTCTCCAGCCACTTTCCTCACATTCACACCGTTCGGCCGGAGAATACGAGGTAAACTAAGTACCATTCTGCCTTTCAGCATCGATGACACTGTCCCGTCTCCTGATCCTAATACTCTTTCTATACGCTCAAGTGCATTTAAGCTATGCAATGCTAAAAAAATAAAAATGAAATTGGTAAATTAATTAAAGTGTAATCGGCAAAAGAAAAATAATTTATTATAATAGTCAATATAATTTTTGTTGATTTTAAATAGTATGGTCGGTAAAAAAATGGTCAGCCGAGGGTTAAGCTTGAAGAGCATGGGGAAATGTGAGCGCTGATGAGTGAATACAAATATACATATTTGTGCACATATATTTGCTTCTGTTAAAAATCTTTTATGTTGTTTCTGTTTCAGCTAGTATTTGAGCGAAGTGTAGGTAGAATCAAAGATGATAAGTATTCACCAGACTGGCACGGCCATAAACTTATTGATCTGAGCTCAGCAGGTGCGAATGTCAGTTTGGCTTATCGGTGCCAAAATAAGAAAATATAATCAAAACAAACTGTACGGACTTATATATATTCCTCGATGAAAGGCCTAAAAATAAACTATTTTTGTTTCTTTTTATATATATGTAGAACAATATATATATAGGTATAAACATTTTTTTTTTCACTGAACTTGCACGTTGTTTAAAGTGGGCCCTAATAAATGCACTTTGAGCAAGCCTTTGAAATTTTCACACAAAATTTAATAAACTAATTTTAACAGAAATTTTCAGAAATCTAAACGTTCCGGCCAACTAATGGGCGATGTCTTATGGGCTGCTGACCAACTGCGCTTCATTGGGGTAAAAAAACTACTCCGTCTTCCGGATTCCAGACTTTGGAAACGGCGCCTTGTCACTTATTTTAGCTTGCAGCACCAAAACAATGGTATATTTGTTCAAGAAGAAATTTTTGTATCACAACTGATGTGAATTTCTTCATGGGCTGAAACCAATGATACTTGCTGAAGTGATCTAAAACTATTAACAATGCTTTTGCTTCTAGGGTATGGCCCAAGCAGGTCAAATGAAATGGTCTGCAAGTTGCGATGTGAGCACCCATAGGTGGCCGAAGGGTATAATTTGGAGCATTAGTTTCTTTACATATCTCGCTGTTTGGTATGTATTCACGTACATATTTAGCTAATCCTGGCTAGAACAAATTTCTGCAAATTGTATCAATAGTTTTTGTCATGCCAGCGTGAGACGACGTTATGCACCCATAGTTTCCACGAAGGACTTTCTTGTGTCTAATCTCCTCTCGAATTTTCGGTGCGAACAATAACTTATCAACGATTTTTATGCCCGGAACCAGTCAAATTCTGGAAAAATTTGTCTTTAATTTGTACATAGCTAGCGCCCATAAATATATCGGACTTAAGAGATATTACAGGATCCATGTCTAATTGAGCGATTTTATTCTCGGGCAACCGAGACAAAGCGTCGGGAACAATGCCTTCTTTGCCTTTCCGCAAAATTTAAATTGTTGTAGTCTAAAAACCTATCGTGCCACTGTACCCGATATATTTTGCTGACGCATAAACCAAAGCAAACTTGAATGGTCGGTAACAATTTTAAATTCATAGAATTCCAAATAATATCGTAATTTTCCGATGGCTGCTAGGCATTCACGCTCGGTAACATTATAGTTTCGCTGAGCCGGGTTTAATTTTTTTGATATGAAAGCAATTGGTTGTTCTTTATTATCTTCAGACATCTGTAGTAATGCCAAATGCCAATGCCAAAATCACTGGCGTCCCAATGTAAGAATTTTTTTTTCTTAAAATCAGTATTTTTTAAAACAAGCGAGTAAATTAGCACTGTTTTTAAGTTGTCCATTGTGGTCTGTGCTTCAGGGGTCCACTCAAACTTTCTGTTTGTCGATATAATGATAAGTTCGGAAACTCCTCGAACGAAAACTCCTAGAAATCCTCGAACTTTCTTAAATTGTTTTTGCGGCAGCCAATTACAATACAAGCTACATTTTCCGGATTTGTGCAAATACCTCCGCTTCCTATCAAGTTCGAAACTGCTCAGCGATCATCTAAATAACCAGATACACAATAGCGCAGATCAGAAGAAAAGTTACAAAGGCCAAAGGGCATGACCTTAAATTGATAAAGCGTTTTTTCGGAGACAGTAAAAGCAGTGAGAGGCTTTGAATCCTCAGATAGTACAATCTGCCGATAGGCGTCCTTCAAATCCAGTTTCGAAATTATATTTGCCTTAGGTAGCCGCGAAAAAACGCCATCGATGCTCGGCAGACGGTAAGCATCTTTTTATGTGGCGTCATTCAGTCTTCAAGTATCCAGGCAAAGGCGAACCTTGTTGGGTTTAAGGACGAGTCGCATAGGCGAGCTCCAGGCGCATACCGACGGCTCATTAACTTCAAGCTGCAACATTCGAACGATTTTTGCATATATCAATTTTTCTACGGCCGGACTTGCAGGGTAGAATCATTGTTTCACTGGACGTTCGTCTCCTATATCTACATGGTGTTGGATCAATGTTGTGCGGCCTAATCTATCAGAAGCGTCGAGGAAGAACTGCCTTACTACGTGTAGTTGTTGCGTTTGCATCGATTTTAGCTCTACAGTTTTATAATGCTTGCCGCAACTCAAAGGCTCTCCAAAAATCACAACCCAAAATTAGACTGGATTATAGAAGGAATCACATACAGTTTCAAGGGTTTGGTAGCCGATTTATACTGCATAATAGCTTCAAGTACTCCGATGACTGTCTGACTATGACCATCTGCTGTTCTGACATGCGATTTAATAAGCTTAAATTTCGGCATAGCGTAAAGCCTATGCAGCTAATATTCAAAGTTAAAAATGACACTTCTGTATAGCTGCGCATATCGGTGATTTGGCAAAAAACTGTCGAAGCTATAAGCTTGCTAAATTTCTTAATTTTTGAATTGTAATTTTTCAAGCGCTGGGTACGCTGAGAAATACTGTTTTTATATACGGCGGTCAGCAAGGCAATTTTCCCACAGGTTCTCTTGGGTTTCGCAGTTCCAAAATTTACCTCTACGAATTACTGTAAAGTCAAGATCTGTATGTTCTGAATTGTTTACTTCAGATTCATTGAAAGAATCTTCTACTTGACGACGGCCTATAGTCCTGGATTTATTATTACCATCAGTGCGACAACTGAGCTCATGAAGTAAATTCTCGTTCATCTGGACCAATCTACGTAATGGCCAACTGTCGTCATGAAACGACTCAAAAGGTTCCCCAGAATTTTGCTTTCTAGCTCTTACCAGTTTTTATACCCTGAACCCATTAAAAATGGGGTATATTGTATTTGTGCAAAATACAAATTTATGTAACAGGCAGAAGGAAGCATCTCCGACCCCAAAAAGTATATATATTCTTGATCAGCAGCAATAGCCAATAGCGCACCACCTGCACTAACGGGCCATGGCCTTGCACCACCTGCACTAGCGGGCCGAGGCCTCGCACCAACTACACTAGCGGGCCGTGTCCTCGCACCAACTACACTATCGGGCCGTAGCCTCGCAACAACTGTTCCCACTGTAGGACAAATATGGATATCCGGGAATAAAATAAGTAACAGGTTTCCTTCATTAATCTCATTGTATTCACTTTTATTCACTTATTCGTTAATCACTACCCATATTATCAATCATGTAGTTCCTAAACTAAGACCCTGCCGCACTGCTTTGGAGCGCTAGCTTAACACTTTTCGTTTCGTCGGTCGATCTCTCGTCGCACGTCTAATCACCCTGCTGCTCGATCTAAAAGTGCCGGATCGCTCACAGGCGAGCCGGGCGCCTGCCTCGGTCGCTCAACTTCGGCGCGAGCTTTTGCAACTTCGCTTCGTAGCTTTCGCTCTTCACCGCGCTCTCAAAGGCGGTTTTGAGCAACCGATCAAGCACGCACGGTTGGTGCGGCGGCCGGCGGTTAAATTCAATTCATCGGAACATTGCATTTACTGTTCTTATTACTAATACAATGCTTATATACCATACAATGCTTATAGCCTATAGCTATAATTATGCGGTCAGTTTAAGTTGTGCTTTCCTGGCCCTTTGATGCGGAATTGTCGTATTTGCATAGGTTAATTTTTTTTTTCTTCTTAAACTTGGATTTGTAATATCTGATTTTTCTACCTCTAAAAGTCTAATTGTTTACTTGAATAGGTTAGTAGTTATAGATTTTTCTATAGGTAATTCCTTAAATCTAGTGTCTTTTTCAAAATATTGTCGTTTTCCGATAGTTTGGTCTTTCTATGTTCCGTTTTAGCTATATTGAATATTTCGATCAATTTTTGGTGATAATGGAAGTGTATACAGTGTATACAATATGTTAAGTGGTCATAAGCTCAATGTCAAAGTTAGAGTATCAAGCGCATTGTTTACAAAATACAACTACCGCCAAGTGCCGTAATATGATCAGCCACTTATGTGTGGACTGGCCTGCAGCGTGAGATCTGCAGGGTAAGCACTATGACGTTTTGACCGTTCGGTCCCAAGCGCATTCCAATGTATATGCCTTCTGCATGTACATATAACAACATATATACAAATACATATGGCATGCTATGTACTCCCGTTCTGCCGATGCTTTGAGCGGCAGAACTCCAATTTCTAGTATGTACTTTAGGCTAAGTCCATTTTAAATAAAGAGAGACGATTCATTCTGAATCTGACAAACAAGCGAACCAGACTTTATATTCCTATATGGCGACCGTGACATGGTCACGCAAAACGCAGT